CTCTCTCTCTCTCTCTCTCTCTCTCTCTCTCTCTCTCTCTACTCTGTCAAAATTTTATTTTATGAATAAAACTATGAATATAAAATTAATAATAAAATAAATACTTATAAGAAAATCTTTTCTGAAAGCAAATTATACTCATATTTACTTGTATCGCTGGTCCCGGACTTTTTCCATTAATCGTTAAAAGACTCCTTCCTATGGTAACATTTTTGTACGTAGAAATTCCATTGCTGCTTTCAAATTTTTTGTAGAAACTGCCAATTATATTAAAAGAACGTTAACAATATTGCTTTAGAGGTTTTATATTTAACATTCATCATCTTTACAAGTCGATATGTTGAAATTATTGAAATTAGGCTACAGTCCCTATAGTCCATATTAGACGTATTTTATTATAAAAATTTTTATTACATATAATAATGCAAGAGAATTGTTAATAGAGAATATTTGTTAATATTTTACAATAAGATCCGTTAGTTTTATTTTTAACGACACAACGGTACAATTTTATGTGGGAAAGAGATAGAATAGAAAAGGAAAAAAAAATAAGGACAAAGCGTGCGTTTAGCAAAATGTGCGTTAACGAGTTTGGACTTGATTTCAATTTGGCGAATACATAATTACAATTACAATTACAATTACAATTACAATTACGATTACGATTATGATTACGATTACGGATGCAGATATTAAAAGAGTGTCAAAGTTTCGCGCAAATTCGATTGAAACTCACCATTTTCAATCGAGTGGTGAGAACCTTTTCTCGATTAAACCTAGATTACGTTACAATCATGCTTCCTGGAAGAGATTAGGAGCGGACATCATTCGACAAATGATTCGTTTCAAAGAGAATCAAGGTGAAAAAAAGCATCAAGAAGCACAAGAAAGCACTCGAGAACACATGATATTAGCATCAACGGTGCACCATCAAGTTTACGTCGAAAGACGCCATTGCTCTTCCGCTAGCTTTCGCGGAATTACAGTACACGCGTGCGTATATGTATATGCGTACATCTTTCTACTTGTTACACGCGATGGCGGATGGCGATAGGCGGTAGACGGTAGGCGGTAAGCGGAAGGTTCAAGTGAGTAGGGCATCCTCGACTGAATACCGGAACTAACCGGAATCTGTTACCTGTTACACGCCGAACGCGGAATCTATGTACACGACCGTGAATATTAACCGTTACAACACCGCATACTACGTGCCAATTTACTCAATTCACGACACGCGACTAATACATGTGTCTGTTGCATTTCGAAAAATAATTATAGAGAACCATCGAATCTTTTTCTCTGTTAGTACTTTTATCTTCCTAAACACATTCTGAGAATATTTTCAAGATAAGTGGATCGTTACGTATATTCCCTTTATCGTCGAGACGTACATACGCTATGTTACATAAAGAGTATACCGAGTCAATTTTCTTCTCCGTGATACCAAGACTACATTACTAGCGTATTTCAAAATATAGACAGATCTCTAATTACATATTCCTTACAATTAGTCATACTAATGAATACATCTAATGAACGTTGATATATTCTTCAGAATTTAAAACTTGAACATTTTCAATAATTTTTATATATAACATAATGTATATCCGTGGAATATACATACATGTATTATACATACATATAATAATGTACATATATATAACACACATACGTGTAAACTTTTATGTTTATAATCTCACCTCGTTATATCCTGCGATTCTGTGACAAAGAAATGATAGACACACGTTTTTTTCGAAGACAAATCAGAGCAAGGCCGTGCACATTCGTGGTAATCGTCATCTGTTTTTTTTTTTAAATGAATAATTGTTTAATCCATAAATGAAATGCACGAAATGCTTGTAAATAATATTTTATAAAGATCTTTATTATTATTAAATATAATACTTGATTGATACACACTGTTAATAATCAATTTAATTTTATTGAACACACAATTTCGCACAATTTCGCACAATTTAGCAAGTGATGACATGTAAGTTGGTAAATTTTTTGTGTTTCTTTCGAAAATAGATCGCTTTTAAAGATGATGATCAAAGGATAAATAATGCTGAAAGATTTCACTCACCTTCTTTGAATATCTCAAAACACAAAGCCGAAATCGAATAAAAAGCAAACATTAAAACAATGCGATTGTTAAGACGCGACATGATGGCCCAGAATATCTGGGTTGATACCGAGTTCACACACGTACATAAGTTCGAGTAATTCTGTGCGAATCTAAGCCAACGATCGACCGACCGACCGACTCGGGAAGTGAATGCTTTGCGTATGCTTCTTACTCGAGGATATGGAAGCGGGTGAAAGCAAGGCCTAGGCTAAGCCACAAGTGGTATAAATCGATGAAAAACTGCTTATTTCTTTTCACAAAGATGCGTTAACTACATTTATGCGTAAATAGTTTTATTATTTATACAATCGGATATTCTTTGTATGTATTTAGGAATAGAAAGATGGACAATAAATTATAGTTTTTCCTTTCCTTCTTTTAAATCAAATAAAAGTCAATGAAAACTAATAAAAAGTGGCTTTTATTTTTATATATAAACCTGTGTGTGGGCGTGCGCGCTATATTCAATTAATATTTTTATAGCTTATACTACATTTATTATGTATCTATATACATGTGTATATGTATGCGTGTAAGTATAAATATTGAATCAAGGCTTTAGAGAATTTCTTGAAAGAAATTTGTACATTATTTATCTGTTTAAAAGGAGATTCGTTTTATAACATTTTAAACTGCACAACGGTATTCCGGTTTTGGAACATGAATATTTTTTGGGATTTTTACAATGATTTATTCCGCAGAGAACTTGTTTCGGTAGACTTTTTCTGAAATGGAATCAACGAAAATATAAATGCCGTACCTTTAATATCATAAAAAAAAGATGACAAATAATAATAATAATAAACTCACTCTTTGGCAGGAGAAAGTGGAAAATCTTCACCAGGTGGTAAAGATATAGAACTCCCTTCGATTGTTAAACGATATGTTACTAACGGTACTTGTCGCCTCGATAATCTTCCTTTGCTGATAACTTTGGATGCTTTAGATTCTTGTTTCTTAAGCAGTCTTTCCATTGTTTTTTTCTATGAAAATAATTCAGACATATTTTTATTCCATATAAAATTGTTGGATATCAAACAAAATGTTTGTAAACACAGAAAATTTTGCTATATAATACCTTATCTTTTTCTCTTTTTTCATCGGCGAGTTGTTTTCGTTTCAAAGATTTTAGAGCAGCCTTTTGTATAGCTTCCGCAGTCATGACTTTTTCTTTGTAACCAGTAGGTAATGACATCAGTTGTTCGACCCCTGAATTTGGCTCGGTATCAGTTTTTCTTTCAAACATTGCTCTCTGTCGTGCTGTCATCAGTTTGGGATCCTTTGGCTTAATTTTTTTCAATTCATCATCAACCTAAAATAAAATTCTTTCATGTTATTATTTTTTATCAGAATTGTCAACATTTGTCATCAAAACTAAGGAAATGGTAATAATAAATCTGTATATTACAGTATTTTTTATGTTAATATTAAATATCTAAGGCAAAATATAAATACCTCTTCCAATTTACCAGATTCTATAGCATCAAGCCATCTTTCTTCCTCACTGCTGGTTCCACTATCTTTACCTTTATTACCCTTTAGAATTTTCTTTTTTGTATTTGCTTTCGGAGAAGGTGCAGTAGTTATCGTAGTTGTACTCAAACTGCATGATTTTAATATCTTGTCACGTTTATCCAAACTAGAAGATGATATATTTTATTATAGTCATAAACATATTATACATATACACGTGTGTGTGCGCTTGCGCGCACATGTGTACATAAGTTTAACAGAAATTCATTTTTAAAATCGAGTAAGATATATATTATAAACAAATTGTACAACTCTTTTTCTTCTTAATAAAAAAAAAAGGAAGAATATTTCTTATTCAAATTTTTCAATCAAAAATAAAATTAATTGAACACACTGTTTCATAATTCATAAAATTTTAGAGACACATAAATACTAAAAGTCATAGTACACATACCTCCGTTCATCTTCCTTTTTCATTTTTATTCGAAAGCTTTTTTTTCTGTCAGCATCGCTTGCAAGTTCTACCAAAGTATCACTGTCATCGTGCATGAGTTTTTTCTTCTTGTGCTTTTTATGTTTATGTTTCTTATGTCTTTTTTGCGGTGGAACATCACTTGTATCTGACAAAATTTAATTGACGTTAAAAACTTCAAAATCTATCAAATCTATCAAATTGTATATAAAGTTAAAATAATATGTGATGTAAATACATTGGACAGAATTACCTAAATTTATCTCCTCTTCTGTACTTACATCTCTCGGCTTACCCATTAGATTAAGAAGAACAATCAAATGATAACAGCTATCCAATGAGTAATACGCCCAAGTATAAAGGATGCAATCTTGTATTCTCTATGATTGATTGAGAAAATTGAGATGTTACTGCTACATGTACATACACACTTGCGTGAATATAATGTATAAAAGCGATAATAAAAATTGTCACTGCCCAAATAACACCTGTAATAACGTTTCGCTGTTTTTTAAGGTTAGAACATTTGTCAATTTTCCGGCTTTTTTCATGGAAACACTCGTTGAAACACTTGTACACTAACGCCCTCAAGTTTCATTTTAATATGGAACTAAGTAGCCACTTTCATTTTCGGATACC